GGTGAACTCATGATAATAAACTGAAAAAAAAAAAAAAAAGAAAAAAAAAAAACAAGAATAAAACCTTCCCGATGATAGAATGCGATAGTACTGATACGAGGAAAAACGATTAAAATTTTAACTTTAAACAGCAGCGGCAGCACCATCATCATCATTTTCATCATCATCATCATCAATCTTATCATCATCATCATCATCATCATCATCATCATCATCATCAACATCAACATCAACATCATCATTAATCGAGAACAACAGCAACATCGGCAGCTGCAGCAGCAGCAGCAGCAGCAGTACTGGCAGTAGCAATAGCAATAGCAGTAGCAGCATCAACATAGCAAGCAAGCATAATTCAGATTGCACTTCTCGTCTGACATTTGACAAACTTGAAGTCTTGATCATCATGAACAATAACCGACAGATCAATGATGTTTTCCTTTCCACTTAAAATATCCTTTAAATTTCTCAGAGCCGTTTCAATATAACCCCAGACATTTCCCTGCTCCTCCCCATCCCTTCGACTTGTTCCTTAACCCCTTAAAAACACTATAAAAATGTACGTGGATATTTCTGACGCATACAGAAGAAGGGAGAAAAAACATGAAAAAATAAATCTCTTTCTTTCTAGGCGAATAGCTTAATGAATAATTTATTTGAAAGCAAAAATAAAGAAGAATTGTTGAGAGCAGAAAAATCCTACCACTTTATGCTATTGATGCTAAAATTGTTAGCTAAAAAAAAAGCTAGACAAATTAACTAAAAACCAAAAAACATCTACAATAATTAAGTGCAATACAAATAATTATTAATTTATTAGCTGTTCAGAAATGAATAAACACATTATAATCGTTTAATTATGAAAATAAGAAAAAAAGTATGTAATCAAATAAATTACATAACAACTTTATAAGCCGGGAAAGAGATTTTAATTTAAATTCCAGAACTTAAAAACCACAAGTATTCCCTTGGCTACATCATCAAGCAGGAATTCATAAAGCACTTTTCCTGTCTTCACAACATTCTCACAACTCCTCTTATCAACTTTTATAGCTTACACGCTTCTCTAACCAAAAAATGAAAAAATAAGACAAAAGAAAAGGCAATATGTCTATATAAATCAGCAATAACAAATCTGATCAAAATCAGCCTTCTTGATGGTGTTTTAAGCATATCAAACTATCACTTATCGACTGCAACCAGTAACGACAGCAACTGCTCAGGCTACTACTAAAATGCTTCACCTGTATTCTTCGTTTACTCGACTGCACCATTAAATACAAAAAAAAGATTCTCATTTATACAAGTCATTCATCTGAAACATTAAGGCAAAAAAAAGCAAAAAGACATTCGTGAATATCTTACCTAAAACAAGTATTAATAAATCCTGAAAATGACTTAGGTGGTATTAACAATTACGTTATTTTCAAACATCATTTAGTAACCCACATCAATTTGGCCTATTCTAAAGCTTTCGGATTTAGCCTGTGTAATTTGAAGAATGTTTTCGTGGCTTCCAAAAATTTTAATATCTTTTTTTTTCACTGTTACCAATACCAAATCCACATAATAACAACATTAATCTTACTGCCTTAGAAGTAAAAAAGATACCCTTATTAGACTTATAAAACTGATATTAAAACTGAGTATCAGCAACGATATAAAAAGTTATAAGAAGATCCAAGCAGACAGAACTTTAAAATTATGTCCAACAAAGAAGAGCAGCAGGCACCAAGCTTTCTCTTCATTGAAATCCCTTCTCCGCCATTTCGTCACACTAATCCCTCAGCGATCAGTCAATAGGTTTCAAAAAATTAGTGAAGATCAAAGTATTTGCTGTTCAAAAAAGTCAGCAGCCAAACTTAAACTCTGTTAAATTGTTTAAACAAAAGAAAAAATTTATTTCATATTATGCCTACTTAGAAAAGATAAGTATAATGTTTAAAACTAAAACCTTCAAAAATTTCTTTTCTTAAATAAATCCTCAATGCAGTCGTCAAGATTTTTTTGAAGGCGATAAAATGATGTTGTTGTTCAAAACGAGTGTACAACAATGCTGCTGCTTCTTTTTTTTTTTTCACCCAAATGTCTTTTTCTTAGCCTGCTGAAAAATTATAGCCAAAACATAGATGGCGAGAAAAATCAGAGTGCAATTAGAACAAATTGCAGAACAGACTTAAAATCGATGCAACACAAATTACATGGAACTTATCTCCGTTCTTCTGTTTAAACAAGCGCAGAAATATATGTATAAACAAAAAGCTTAGAGTCTTAATTAATTTCCCAATGCTCTTAAATAAAAAATAAAAAAAAACAAGATCAACCTAACAACATCTCATCAACATCATCCCATCAATTAGCATTACAAACTTAATTATCATATTGAAAATATCTTTGGCTACACAACTGAAGAATAAATTTTTTTATGAAAAAGAAAATATAAATACCTATGT